ATTATTATTATTATTATTATTATTATTATTATTATTATTGCAATCACCAAAGGTGTAGACAAACTGACTTAGTTCATGTTGCGTATTTTAATCAGTACATTTTATTTTTAGCACCAGCTTCAGCTTCTTGTCCATGTAGTGTGACATTACCATTGCTGACATATGCACCCTAAAATAAATTTGATCTGCTTCTGCTCCATGTAAATAAAAGAAAACCCCTGAGGTCTGTTGTCTCATTACTGAAGGATGAAGCAGAGTTTGCCCAAACAAAGACTGTTCTCATTGGTAACCCTTCACCTAAGAGAGCGGTGACATCTTAATTAGCAGCTATTTGTTACAAGCTGTTCATGTGATCTGTGAAGCACGGGCAGATTGATCTAGATCTACCTAACACTAACCTGATTAGTAGAGGTTGTATTCTTATACCAAACTCCACTTGGAAGTCACTGGGTGCAACATCCCTTAGGATGACAAAACCTTTTGATGAGCAGGGATTATCCTCTCAGTTTACTTTGTAATTAATTTTCTAAGATAGAGAGACCGATTATTGGTAACCTATCCTTTGTAATAGCATCCCATTTCTTGTTTGTCAGATAAAATTCAGTAGTTCTTTATATCGTGATATTCTAAATAAACCAATTAATTAGGAGTTGCAAGGAAGACCGATACATGCACATTCAATAAATAACTGAATTCTTTACAATAATCTCCTTAATGTTTCCTTGCTTCACAATGCTCTCTTTCTGTTTTAACTTGAAGTAAATGAACAACATGAATAGACCTATATGTTAATGGAAAAGGTTTTCATCAAAGGAAGCTCCACAATATCAGATATCCAATTACAGGATTCTTCGCTGAGGCAAAAATCCTCTGAAAACGTGGGTAATTATAGCTGTTTTTTTATGAGTTAAATGTTGATAGTATGATCTGCTATTTTGTTTTTCTTACACATTAAGTCTCATTGACAGGAGTTAGGGAAAATACCTGATTGCACTATTCATGACAGGAGAAAAAACAATTTGAAAGGTCAGAGTGGTGTTCTTGTGAAACAAACCTAAAAGGTTACTACCTGAACAGATTAAGGCTTTACTGGTGGGGAAAAACGCACATTTCTCAAACACAATAGGACATTTTCTGTTATAAAACATACAATCCTGAACCTTATGCTAGCCAGCTTCAATCCTAGCTCCTTTATCTTCAGGTTTCTATCAACATTGTAAGTCATAGCATATACAGTAAGTCACAGTTAAAAATGATGCGATGGTAATGAGTGATTATTACACATTAATCCAGACCTAGTAGTTGCCTGAAAGATATCATGTAACTATTATGTAACGTTTGAAGACGTATTTTGTTTTTTGTTTTCTTAAGTTTGCCAACACACATAAATGCGAAGAAAATTAAACCTAATGAAGATGCAGTAGAGAAATACATACTGTAGCTTATCGATTTCTCAAAGTCGTTTCAAGAAATAAAATGAAAAAAATACGTTTGACATGAAATTTCTAGCCCTACCCTGTTTTTAATGTACCAGCTGACAAGTGAACTGAAGAGATAAAAAATTGTTAGATACAGGCCTGATGGCTGAAAACTAAAACATGTATATAAAGAACAAACCTTAACATAAAGTAAATAACTTTTGGGGGGGGTCTCTCCATAAAGTTACACTTTATAGTTGTGTAAGCACAATTGTTTAGTTGAACTGAGCAACTAGTCCATGAACAAGTATAAACATGCAATTTCGTCCACTCCTCCAATTGTTTTCACTTTTTCCAAATCCAAATCGAGTCACAGGGGAGCTGGAGCCTATCCTGGCAAGCAAGGCAGGATGCACTCTGGATGGGACACCAGTCCACCACTGGGGAAACAGACGTGAATATGCACTCACTCCAGGGCCAACTCTCCCAGAAGCCAATTAACTTTCCAGTTTGTCTTTGGACTGTGGGAGATAACCAGATCTCCCAGAGGAAATCCACACGAATATTAGGATAACATACATACTCCAAGCAGACAGCACCCCAGGGCCCCAGTGTTGCGAAGTGGCATTGCTGACCATTGTACCACCCTACAATAGAATTTCAACATTTAAATTTTAGCTACATTCCAAAGTGTGAAACTTAATTTTGAACATCCTTTGTAGCCTGTTCTTACCACCTCAGTTTTCTGTGTAAAAAAGTAAATGACAAATGCAAACCATTGTGCATCTTTTTTCTTGTGCTCAACTTTATTTTTAAATTACATTTATTTAAGATAGGGGCATTTCTCTGAACTGTAGGTTGCATACCCCACAACTGTGTGCATTCTCCAAGAAACATGAGCTAATTACAAAAGCTGTGAAGAGTTTCTAATCCATATGAAGTGGATTTTAGTACTGCTATTCGGTATGTCAGTTACATTTTCATGGCTTACATTGACTGAAATGTACTGTACTGAAATTCAATACAATTCATTTGAAAGGTAATGCTCATACATGAATCAATTTTGTTCTTATATAGCACCTTTCAATACAGAGCATTCTCAAAGCACTTTTTTGTACATCTATTAGTCTGCATTCCCTGATGGAGAGTGAGTTTTAATAAGAAAACTATCTTGGTAAGAAATAACATACTATACAGTATGTGAAATATACATATAATTTATAGGAAGTGTTTTTTTATTATATGTTTTTCTATAAGTATCGTTATATGCAAAAAAATACTGGTGATGATTGGCAAATACATTTTGTTTTGGTAAACAGAATACAACAGAAAAATGTAACCCAGATTTTATGGTTTACTTACATTGTGTCAGACGTGCTCTCTTATGGTTAAAGAACCACTAGGGAAGAATTAATTATCCTGTTACAGAAATAAAATAGAGTGAAATAGTAATTAATCTTTCCTTTCACTTATATAGCACTTATCTGAACACTCCATTCAAAGTGCTTTACAGGTAATGGAGACTCCCCTCCACCACCACCAATCTGCAGCCCCACCTGGATGATTTGACAGCCGCCATTGTGCGTCAGAACACTCACCATACATCAGCAATCAGTGGGGAGGAGAACAGAATGATGAAGTCAGTTCATAGATTGGGATTATTAGGAGGCCATGATTGGTAAAGGCCAATGGGAAATTTGGCCAGGCA